CGTATTTATCAAAACTAAGAAACTGGCAATGGTATAATACTGTTACCAAACTACAGACCTAACTTGGGTTTCACCAGCTTTTCTACTAACATCTTGTTCTGTTTCAGGATCCAATTCAGGGCAACACATTGCATTCAGTCATCATGTCTCAGTCTCCTCTTGCCTGACAGTTTTTCATTCCTTGTATTTCATGTCCTTGACACATTTGAGGACTAGTGGTCAGATATTTTATAGAATGTCCCCCAGTGTGGGTCTGTCTGATGTGTTTTTGTACTTAGACGGGGGTTATGGATTTTTGTGAATAATACCACAGAGGCACGGTGTTCTTATCATCATACCAGGGATATATGACATTATTGGTGATGTTAACCCTCATCACTTGGTTAAGAAGGTGCCCGCCAGATTTCTCCACAATGCTAGTATTTGTCCTTTTCCATACCTTATTCTCTGGAAGTGAATCACTAATTTCAGCCTATACTCAAGGGAAGCCTATTCTCCACCTACTGAAGAGGAGAGTGTCTAATATGTTACTGAGAATTCTTCTGTAAAAAAAATTTGTCCTTTCTATTTATTTGTCCTTCTATTTATTGATTCAATCATTTATTTATATCAGCATGGACTCATGGGTATTTATTTTAGATTTTTAGGTTATAATTCAATACTATATTTTTTTTTTCATTTTAAATAGACTGTTTTTCAGAGAAGTTTTAGGTTCACAGCAAATTTAAGCAGAAAGTATAAGTCCCCACATATCCCCTCTCCTAACACCCACAGCCTCCTCCATTATTAACATCCCTCACCAGAGTGCTGCATTTGTTACAGCTGATGAACCTACATTAATACATCTTAATCACCCAAAGTCCACAATGTTCATTAGGGTTTAGTCTTGGTATTATAAATTCTATTTGTTCTGAAAGTTGTATCATGACATGGATCCACCATCATACAGGATTAGCCTCATTTTTCATATGAATAAACTGGAGAACAGAGATATTAAGTTGTTCAGGGAAGGTGACACAGTTGGTTAACATTTTATGAGTGATGTAATGCATTTCTTTAAAATTCATTGCAAAATTCATTTGAATTATTTTATACATTATTTCCTTGTAGATATACACTGCAGTTGATCCATGTATCTCCTTATTTCTGAATTTTTCCATTTTTTTCCAACATACAAGTGACATTTAGATAAAAATCTGTTTTATACTCCACCATAATAATAGATTCTGTAAAGACAGAGATCCTGTTTGTTCATGTTTATGTCCTCCTTCCTTCCTTATTCACACCTTCCACTAACCGATAGAGTAGGTGATAAATGACTGTTTGTGGAGCAAATGATTACCCAACAAGTTATTGAGCTTAAAGTTTTATCAAGCGTACCTTTGAAGCTGACATTATGGAGGCCTGATTTCTGAGGTTTCTTGAGGCTACTGTCAGAGGAAGAAATGTGAGCAGAATGGTATATTTTGGTGTCACATACTTTACCTTCTTAAAAATGACTTCAGAGTTTCACATCTTGGAATGTGGTTTTGTAGAATAATATTTATAGCCTCATAAGGTTTGAGGGTATTTGTAGCTTCCACCTGTGTTAGCAGCCATCTGTGAACTGCAGCAAGCATGTGATCAAGGCTCCAGACCCTTTTGAAGGGTCACTTTACTCATTTACTCCCATCTAAATTAACTTCCTTTTTCCAAATTTTAATCATACCATATCCATGCACTCTTCCAACCCATTTTCAAATCGTCCTCCTTGTGCATATGGGCCACATACATCCATATATGTGATAATCAGGTTCCTGACTTATTCTAGGATTTGAAAGTTGTCAGCAATACCACAGGGCATAAGCAACATATTTACTGATTATTCTTTGGAAATTATTCAGAAAATAAATTATTGTTAAATGATTCTTTCTGATATAAACAAAGATTTGTGTCATTTTGAAATATTAATAGACATTTATTACTTGTCAAGTAATTAGTAATTCAGTTTAGTAGAGCAGTATTCATATTCAAAACACTTTGGAAACACTATTCTATTTCTCATGATTAATTTAGAATAATTCTCTTGAATAAACAACATTTGCTATTATTTACATTACATTTACTTCATAATTCATTACCAACTGTGTTATTTAGAAATTAAGTTTAGAAATACCCATGAAAACTTTTTCTTCGCAATCTCCATAGGTGTTATTTTATAGTATATAAAAATGTGTGTGTATGTATGTACACAAAGTTAACTGAATTGTGTGGCAATGACTGAAGTTAACAAGCACCAACCCTATAAGTAATTCTGTCTAAGGTTGTCAAGGTGTTAAGTATTATTGTTTATATACCACCTAAATTCTCCGTTCCTTAGTGGATAGAGTCTAAACTCCTCAATCTGGAGGTCAAATCCATCAACTACTTGACATAACTTATTTTTCCACTTTTGAAAGTTTCTCCTTGAAGCATGTTCATGTACTATTTTTAATTCTCACAAACCTCGTTTTGTTTTAGAACTCTCTCCTTTTTACCTTTACCTAAACAACAAACAAACAAATAAAAAAAAACAACAAAAAACATACTGCAATTTAGGTGTTCTTGACCTAATTTAGCAGGGCAGCAGAAAACTGAGGCCCTTCAAAGTTGTATACGTTGTCTAAGGCTCTTATTTATTTATGTGCTAATCCAGAACCAGAATTCACATTTAACTCCAAAATATTATCGTGCCCAAAATCAGTTCCCATTCTTTGTTAATTCATCAGACTCAATAAGGCTTCTTTCTAAAAGGAGCCATTGGAGCTTCCCTGGTGGCGCAGCGGTTAACAATCCGCCTGCCAATGCAGGGGACATGGGTTCAAGTCCTGATCTGAGAAGATCCCACATGCCGTAGAGCAGCTAAGCCCGTGTGCCACAACTACTGAGCCTTTACTCTAGAACCCGAGAGTCACAACTGCTGAAGCCCGTGTGCCTGGAGCCTGTGCTCAGCAGCAAGAGAAGCCACCGCAAGGCGAAGCCCGCACACTGCAAGGAAGAGTAGCCCCCCGCTCACCACAACTAGCGAAAGCCCACACACAGCAATGAAGACCCAACGCAGCCAAAAATAAATAAATATAAAATAAAATAAAATAAAATAAAAGGAGCCATTTCACTGATAGCAAATGCCTACATTAAGGATTGCATGTATTACGCTTAATGCAACCAGTTCTGCAATTAAATACTAAGGTTTTGTATTTAAAGTAATTTAATTTTTCATGCATTGTTGCTCACATTGGTGAAGTGATGTATAATTTCCTCCAGTTGTTAAAAGTAATTAATATATGTAATTTTTTTTTCCTGAAGCAGAGTTGAGATAACTTTCATAAATAGATGTAGAAATTGACAAACCAGGCACCCCAATTTTTTAATATATGAGCACAAGGGTAGCCTTTGGGAAACTTATGGAGGAGTAAAGTTGCACTGTCATTCTTTTCCCCCTGCTCTTTCTGAACTTAATTGTAAATGAAGTCCCTTTTATATTTTGTCCAAAATAGCAAAGGCCTACAAAAATAGATAGATAGATGATAGGTAGATAGATGATAGATAGATAGATAGACAGATAGATAGATGATAGATAAACAGATAAAACCTTTTATTCTGCACATATTTCTTACCTAAGTCTCACCACCAAAATCTGGGAGCATTTTCATAAATATACAATATTTGCATAAGAAAATATAATTAAGCACACATTAACATTTATCAATATGGGCATATTTATATTTTAAGGAAAATATTGAATACCTACTCTAAAATGCAATCTCCATCATTGGTGAACCTGGTGTTATTTTTTACAGCTTACCTAGCTGGGTTAGGTTTCCCTCCTGTTGGTTTCAATGGCAAACCTCTATCTCAGCCCTTATTTTGTACTGTCAGTTTTATTTTTTTAGTTTTATTTTTTTATTTTTATTTTTTTGTGGTACGCGGGCCTCTCTCACTGTTGTGGCCTCTCCCGTTGCGGAGCACAGGCTCCAGACACGCAGGCCCAGCGGCCGTGGCTCACGGGCCTAGCCACTCCACTGCATGCGGGATCCTCCCAGACCAGGACACGAACCCGCGTCCCCTGCATCGGCAGGCGGACCCTCAACCACTGTGCCACCAAGGAAGCCCTGTCAGTTTTATTGATTGACTCCCAGTATCATTCAAGTCTCTGTGATTACAAGCAATCAACATTGACCCTTACCAAATTAAATGAAGGAGCTTTAATGATAGAACATCAGGAGCTCATACTATCCAGGAGAAGCCAGAAGTAACAATGCTGGGAATGGGCAGAACCAGAGGGTGCTTCAGAAGACTGGGAATGTGAACCATAAGAAGTGTCTCATTGTAGAAACAACTTGGACAAGTCACCCTACTGGAACTAATGTACCTATTTAAGGCCTCTTTTTAATCTAGTCAGTATTTAATTTCAAGAATGAAGGTTCCAAAGACCTAACTTGGATCGTGTGCATTGGCATTTCTGTGTAGAAAGTAGCACAGAGAAATTTATAATAATATTTAGGGTTTCTGGAGATATAAAACAGTACTTGGTTAGTGAAGCATTGGAGTGAATATAATTCTCTTTTGTAAATTACAGTGAGATGTTAGAAAACATCTTATTTCCTATTAAAAAAACAAGATGTGTGCTTATTATTTCCCAGATATACTGGGGTTTAAAATAAAGAGAAACGATAGGATTCCTGTGTTTTTGAGGAACCAGGATCCTTAAAATAAAAGCTTATTATGCAAGAAATAAATATTTCCAGTGGGAAAATAATCCCATTGGACAGCACTAATATAAAATTGAATAGAAATTATTTAATTTCACAGTTAATATTTAAGGTGCAGTGTTTAAGGTCTCTGATATATATAAATTTTCATTTTATTCTTTTTCTTTGAGTGTGATGTTGCCATTGTATCATGTTTTACAATAGTCCTAGGATCTCTCTGTTGAATCTATTTCTCTCTTTTTTAAATGTTCTCTCTCTTTCTCTCTCAAGGATCAACAAACCACTTCTGAAGCCCATGAGAGCTCTCAAGTTGAGACTACAAAGGAAGAATATCTGAGTACCCCTGAATGCGATACTCAAATTGTAAGATTTATTTAAAATGTTTTTAACAACATTCAACATGAAAACAAGGACATAAGCGTTTTAACAACCCTAGTTTATGCCACCATGAAACTTTCTATTTATATGTAATATCTACTATCTAAACAGTGTACTTTTAAATTTGAAAATGCAGATAGATATGAATCATGTAGGTATTCCACTAGGAAATGTAATCAGGCAATTAGGGGTACTATAAACTTGAATTGCTAGAGGGGTAAGGGGGTCATTCCCACAATCACATGACAGAAAGCTATTAAAATATTAAAAACAAACACAAACAAACAGAATCCCAAACAAAGAATGTGATTCAATAATATTCTTCCCAAAAAGCAAATCAACCCTGCATTATAGAGGCATTACATTAGAGGAAGGGAGATTCTTACCCTTCAAATGATAATAGGAAATATGGAACTTGTACTCTGTGCTTTCACTTGTAATAAGTGAAATGAAATTTTAGTTCTGGAACTTTGACGTGATAACAGATCTGTCATGTCTGGGCTTGAGGAACAGCAAATGACAACAGCTGTATTTAATAGATTCAAAGCTAGGCTTCAATCTAGTTGACAAAATGGAAAGTATCTGCTGAAACTCTTCATGATGGAAAAGATATCAGGTGATAGCAAAGGAAATAAGGCAGAATAGAAACATAAGTTAAACAAGTCTATCTCTTTTTCCTCTATTGACTGCCAAAGTAAATTTAGAAATATAAATTTCTCAACAATTTGGCCTTCACATCTTTGTATATTGAAAGATGTTCCAAAACCATACAATTTAGAATATAAGGTTAGTGAGAAGTAGAAATAAAATATTCTGCAATTTACTTCCAAGGAAGGAAGAAGTCGAGAAGGTTTGGGGCAGGAAGGAACACTTTTGCTGTAGTTTGAAGAACAGATAGGTCTCTGACAGTGTGAGTGAATGTGCAGAGACAAGAAAACATCTGAATAGAGGGGGCTTCCCTGGTGGCGCAGTGGTTGAGAGTCCACCTGCTTGTGCAGGGGACGCGGATTCGTGCCCCGGTCCAGGAGGATCCCACATGCCGCGGAGCGGCTGGGCCCATGAGCCATGGCCGCTGGGCCTGCGCGTCCGGAGCCTGTGCTCCGCAACGTGAGAGACCACAACAGTGAGAGGCCCGCGTACCACAAAAAAAAAAAAAAAAAAATCTGAATAATATGAGGAGAGAGTAGCATACAGAAAATGGTGGGATGTTGCCTAAGAAGATAATTTGGGACTTAAGTGGGAGGGGCACTGGATTCCCAAGCTAAGGAGTTTGGTTTGAATTAGGGATATAGTTAAGATTTTCAAATGTTTATGTCCAGTTAAATGATAAGACCATTGGGTTAATTTTAAGGAGAGTGCCCTTGTTTCTTGATATACTTTCCTAAAACTACCAAAAAATCATTTTGCAGTATATACGTATATCAAATCATTATGTTGTACACCTAAAACTAATACAATGTTACATGTCAATTATATCTCAATTTTAAAATATTAAAAATAAATAAGAATTTTGGAAGCTTCTGGCCTGCACCCTTACGGGTGATGCTCAGGCTTGATCCTTCAGTGTCCTGCTTTGAGCCCTTGGATTAGGAGGAATTCAGTTGCTTTTTTCCTGCCCTTACTGGTGTATCAGTGCCTTGAGCAAATCATTCACGCCATGAGGTGGCCAAAACATATGAAAGGACAAAGAACCAGGACTTCATCAAACTTAACAAACAAACAAAATAGTCCCACTGAAGGCAAACCTGAAAAGTTCTATACGTTTTGCTAAGATTTCCCAAAGCAATATTTTGGTCTACTTTTCTTGTCAAGAGAGAGGCATAGGGCTTCTCTGGTGGCGCAGTGGTTGAGAGTCCGCCTGCCGATGCAAGGGACACGGGGTCGTGCCCCGGTCTGGGAAGATCCCACATGCTGCGGAGCGGCTGGGCCCGTGAGCCATGGCCGCTGAACCTGCGCGTCCGGAGCCTGTGCTCCGCAACGGGAGAGGCCACAACAGTGAGAGGCCCGTGTATCGCAAAAAAAGAGAGAAGCATAAATTCTTTTTTTGTTGTTTGTTTGTTCCACTCTCTTTTGACTTTTGTTGTCCTTCCTTGTCACTAGCTGCTCCTCTCCCTTCAGTAAGTCCCATAAGCATCTACCACCTTGGTGGAGGCCCCAATCTGGGTCCCTTCAAAAAGCAGCTTCCACCTGTACCAGCATGAACGCTCCCTCTCTAACCTGATTTCAGTTCCCTAGATTTTAGTCTTTGAAATCTCTTCTTCCAAGCAGCTACACTTATTCTAGTGCAGAGAGTGCTCAGTATTTATAGCCTGTAGACTCAGTTGCATTTAAAGGCCAAGAGAGTAATATAAGTGAATGAGATAAACCAGGTGTAAGCAGTAGGAATTAATGAGGTTGCTGTGAACATCAGTTTTCCCATTCTACATCAGTAGTTGTTATCCCTGTCCTCACTGTAGTATCACATGGAGGGTTTTTATAAAATACTGATGACCAGGACCAATCTCAGAAAAACTGACTCAAAAAGAAAGAAATTAGAACACTCCCTAACACCACACACAAAAATAAACTAAAAATGGATTAAAGACCTAAATGTAAGACCAGACACTATAAAACTCTTAGAGGAAAACATAGCCAGAACACTCCTTGACATAAATCACAGCAAGATCTTTTTTGACCCTCCTCCTAGAGAAATGAAAATAAAAACAAAAATAAACAAATGGAACCTAATTAAACTTAAAAGCCTTTGCACAGCAAAGGAAACCATAAACAAGAGGAAAAGACAACCCTCAGAATGGGAGAAAATCTTAGCAAACGAAGCAACTGACAAAGGATTAATCTCCAAAATATACAAACAGCTCATGTAGCTCAACATCAAAAAAACAAATGACCCAATCAAAAAATGGGCAGAAGACCTAAATAGACATTTCTCCAAAGAAGATATACAGATTGCCAACAAACACATGAAAGGATGCCAACATCACTAGAGAAATGCAAATCGAAACTACAATGAGGTATCACCTCACACTGGTTAGAATGGCCATCATCAAAAAATCTACAAACAGTAAATGCTGGAGAGGGTGTGGAGAAAAAGGAACCCTCTTGCACTGTTGGTGGGAGTGTAAATTGATACAGCCACTATAGAGAACAGTACAGAGGTTCCTTAAAAAACTAAAAATAGGGCTTCCCTGGTGGCGCAGTGGTTGAGAATCCGCCTGCTAATGCAGGGGCATGGGTGCGAGCCCTGGTCCGGGAAGATCCCACATGCCACAGAGCAACTAGGCCCGTGAGCCACAACTACTGAGCCTGCGTGTCTGGAGCCTGTGCTCCACAACAAGAGAGGCCGCGATAGTGAGAGGCCCACACACCGCGATGAAGAGTGGCCCCCGCTTGCCACAACTAGAGAAAGCCCTCGCACAGAAATGAAGACGCAACGCAGCAAAAATAAATTAATTAATAATCTCCTACCCACAACATCTTCTAAAAGAAAAAAAAAAAAAAAAACTAAAAATAGAACTACCATATGACCCAGCAATCCCACTACTGGGCATATAGCCAGAGAAAACCATAATTCAAAAAGACACATGCACCTCAGTGTCCATTGCAGCACTGTTTACAATAGCCAGGACATGGAAGCAACTTAAATGTCCATCAGGAGAGGAACAGATAAGGAAAATGTGGTACATATATACAGTGGAATATTACTCAGCCATAAAAAGGAACAAAATTAGGTTCTTTGTAGAGACGTGGATGGACCTAGAGAATGTCATACAGAGTGAAGTTAAGTCAGAAAGCGAAAAACAAATATCGTATGTTAACACATATATGTAGAATGTAGAAAAATGATATAGATGATCTTATTTGCAAAGCAGAAATAGAGACACAAACGTAGAGAACAAACGTATGGTTACCAAGGGGGGAAGGGGGTTGGGATGAATTGGGAGATTGGGGTTGACATATATAAACTATTAATACTATGTATAAAATAGAGAACTATTGAGAACCTACCATATAGCACAGGGAACTCTATACTCAGTGCTCTGTGCTGACCTGAATGGGAAGGAAATCCAAAAAAGAGAGGATATATGTATACGTATAGCTGATTCACTTTGCTCTACAGTAGAAACTAACACAACATTGTAAAGCAACTATAATCCAATAAAAATAAATTTTTAAAAAAAGAAAAATTGACTCAGCATCTTGGTATGTGGAGTCTAGACATTAGTTGTATTTATTTTTTAACTTCTCCAGGTGATTCTAATATGCAGGCCAGTTTTACAAAAAAATGTGTTTCACATGTACACGATTATTAAAATCATGTGAGGAGTTTTTAAAAATTAAGATTTTTAAGAAATTCTTCAGTAAGTGCTAAATAAATAGGACTAAGGGTAAACATTTTTTAACGTGGATTTGACAACACTCTTCCCAACCCAGGTGATTCTTAATTTGAAAAACATTGGTTTAGATAAGATATAATCCCTTTAGAGTGTTGTTTAGTAATAGAGTTTCTGCTTCTCAGACTCTGTTTATTTGCATTTAAAGACATCAATGCCTAAATAAGGCTCTGTAATGGTAGTATGATGTGACTTTTGCTAGTAGGTAGAGGGGGGTCCATCCCAGAACCCTTTGTTTATTGTGCAACCATATATAAGAGAAGCACTGATGTAGGACTGTGAAATTGATCAGGAAGCTGATGTGTGATTTTATCCATAACTAAGCCTTCCCTTGAGAGAGCTAGTGGACCATTATCTCCCCAAGCTATAGTTCTCAGAGTGTAATTAACCTTAAGCATGGAGAGCTCTATAGTTCCTTTCTAGCATTCCCCAATAATAAGAGAATAATTCTGATGACTTCCTCCACCTTACAGGAATATGTGGGAGGATCTTTGGATTTATGAGAACTGCTGTTACTCAGCTTGTCTAAATTCACCGAAAATATTCTGATTTGTGTTAAATAGCATGAAATGCATTGCTTCCATTTCAATACAG